CGAAACGTTTCGAAATAAAGATACCTAACTGTTGCATATGTGTCTTACCTAACAACCTGTCGGTATTTTATACCATTTTAATGTTCACTCTGTCAGACACTGCAACACAAGGGTATCTTGGTACAGACCTGAAATCAACTTGGACTACTTCTACTAGTGAGAATGGCTGGATTTGAGAGGGACCTGACCTCCCAACGACTTCATTCTTACCTCTACTAGTGGCCTACATCTCACCTCTTGGCGGTACATAAGGCTCCATCCTGTCGCTTCAACTCCATATTGTTTCAGACTATGGAACAATACTCTTCTCCAGACTGAGGGACTGACCACCTCAAAACTTTAAGGGTGATGGACTGATTACATCATCTTCAAGTATCTTCTGCTTCTATCAACTTTTCTGTACTCGACTGAAGAAGCCTACTGTGTAGGCAAAACGTTTCGAAATAAAGATACCTAACTGTTGCACATGTGTCTTACCTAACAACCTGTCGGTATTTTATACCATTTTAATGTATGGTAGAGTTACTGTATTATTGAAAGAATTAAGAGCAAGATGGAGAATAGGATAGTAGATGAACAAGGAGGCTTTAGGAAAGGTAGGGGGTGTGTGGACCAGGTGTTTACAGTGAAACATATAAGTGAACAGTATTTAGATAGGCTAAAGAGGTTTTTGTGGCATTTATGGATTTGGAAAAGGCGTATGACAGGGTGGATAGGGGAGCAATGTGGCAGATGTTGCAGGTGTATGGTGTAGGAGGTAGGTTACTGAAAGCAGTGAAGAGTTTTTACAAGGATAGTGAGGCTCAAGTTAGAGTATGTAGGAAAGAGGGAAATTATTTCCCAGTAAAAGTAGGCCTTAGACAAGGATGTGTGATGTCACCGTGGTTGTTTAATATATTTATAGATGGGGTTGTAAGAGAAGTAAATGCGAGGGTCTTGGCAAGAGGCGTGGAGTTAAAAGATAAAGAATCACGCTTAAAGTGGGAGTTGTCACAGTTGCTCTTTGCTGATGACACTGTGCTCTTGGGAGATTCTGAAGAGAAGTTGCAGAGATTGGTGGATGAATTTGGTAGGGTATGTAAAAGAAGAAAATTAAAAGTGAATACAGGAAAGAGTAAGGTTATGAGGATAACAAAAAGATTAGGTGATGAAAGAGTAGATATCAGATTGGAGGGAGAGAGTATGGAGGAGGTGAATGTATTCAGATATTTGGGAGTGGACGTGTCAGCGGATAGGTCTATGGAAGATGAGGTGAATCATAGAATTGATGAGGGGAAAAGGGTGAGCGGTGCACTTAAGAGTCTGTGGAGACAAAGAACTTTTTCCTTGGAGGCAAAGAGGGGAATGTATGAGAGTATAGTTTTACCAACACTCTTATATGGGTGTGAAGCATGAGTGATGAATGTTGCAGCAAGGAGAAGGCTGGAGGCAGTGATGTCATGTCTGAGGGCAATGTGTGGCGTGAATATAATGCAGAGAATTCGTAGTTTGGAAGTTAGGAGGAGGTGCGGGATTGCCAAAACTGTTGTCCAGAGGGCTGAGGAAGGGTTGTTGAGGTGGTTCGAACATGTAGAGAGAATGGAGCGAAACAGAATGACTTCAAGAGTGTATCAGTCTGTAGTGGAAGGAACGTGGGGTAGGGGTCGGCCTAGGAAAGGTTGGAGGGAGGGGGTAAAGGAGGTTTTGTGTGCGAGGGGCCTGGGCTTCCAGCAGGCATGCATGAGCGTGTTTGATAGGAGCGAATGGAGACAAATGGTTTTTAATACTTGACGTGCTGTTGGAGTGTGAGCAAAGTAACATTTATGAAGGGATTCAGGGAAACAGGCAGGCCGGACATGAGTCCTGGAGATGGGAAGTACAGTGCCTGCACTTTGAAGGAGGGGTGTTAATGTTGCAGTTTAAAAACTGTAGTGTAAAGCACCCTTCTGGCAAGACAGTGATGGAGTGAATGATGGTGAAAGTTTTTCTTTTTCGGGCCACCCTGCCTTGGTGGGAATCGGCCAGTGTGCTAATAAAAAAAAATAGTACAGCTCATGCACCAGGGTTATTGACGTACTAGTACGCCTAAATTCTAGCGCCTTCAAATCTATTGTGAGAAAGCTGGTAAATCTACATATGAAAGAATGGGTCTATGTGGTCAGTGTGTACAGTACAGAAAAATCCTGCAGCACATAGCGCATAATGAGAAAAAAAAAAACTCCGACCGTATTTTTGATTTAAAACAGCGACTTTGCAGTGTATTTTTGTATGGTATTTATGGTTGTATTTAGTTTTCCTGGTCTCATTTTATAGAATGGAAGACATTACAGAAATTGAGATGATTTTGATTGATTTCATAATGAAAAGTACCTTGAAATTGACCTCAAAGTAGCAGAAATGGTTGATTTTTACCAAAGTTCAAAAGTAAACAAATCATGCCAAGCGTCCAATACACATCAACTGGTGAGTCTAATATTCTTTCACAAGTGCGCTGATATTATTTATACCATTTCTACACCATTTATACATTAATGCAGTAGTCTGCATAACAGTAAATCTTCTATTTTTTGTTAGAATAAAAATTCAAAGTGGAAAGCACAAGAGATGTAAGAGGGGCCTGGGGATGTGACTAATGAACAGAGAAAACATTATTTTAGTGCCAGGAATGTCTGTCTTGTTTATTCTGGACCTTATTTGGAAATTGGCATCTTCTGAAACTTGTGTGAAATTTGCAAAATTGCCAATTTCTGACCACTTTATTGGATAGTTGAAATCAGTAAATGGGTGGTTTCTTGTACTCATTTGATAGAAAAAAATATAGTTCTAGTGAAATAGATATGATTTTTGTTGACTAGTACACTGGAATTGGCTAAAAATAGGGCTCAAAGTGGGCGAAATCGCCAATGCGTAAACATCGTTGAGACCGCTAACTTCGCAAAAACATAATTCCGTAAGTTTTCCAACAAATTTCATACTTTTGGTGTCATTATGATCGGGAAAAGATTCTCTATCATTTCATAAGAAAAAATAGTTTTTTTTTCCGAAAAATTTTCAACCCTGAGAATGAGTTTAGGAGAGGGCCTCTTGACCCTGAAAGAGTTAAATGTTCCTATGTCTTGTTATAGAAGTTACGCAGTCAATGAGTTTTTTCACTTGCTGTATGTGCAGTAAATATCCTGATGTTGGAACGGAGAAGTTAGGTAAAGTCACTGGATTCCTTGAAATCAAGTGTAAGCTGCTGCCTTGGAAGTGCTCTTCATCATGCATGTACTGTCAATAACCTTTAACCCTTAAGCTGTCCATCATGTACTAGTACTTCATAGCGATCAGCGTCTATGATATAATTCACAACACCCTCAAATTTGTCGATTGCAGCAAATTTTGTCCCATGTAAAAAACAATGAGTCTGTGTGGTGGGTGTGCACAGCATCAAAAAAATCCTTCCCCTGCAGTAATGGGAATAGTTAACCTCTGAAGCTGTGTTTGGCATAAAATAGTAATGATGGGACATTTTTTTTTTAGGCTGGTTTTTATTGATGGTTTCTTTGTGCAACCAGATAGACCAAATGACATAATAAGTGACACATAATTTTGGTCAGCAGCTGTCAAGCAGAACTACATTACTGAAGCCAGGTCCCTTGCATAGTTCTACATTTGTCATGAGCTCTACTCACTCAGATAAGCAATGAGTGATAAATATTGGCTTAGAAATGAGAGAATGGGTCTGTGAAGCGAATATGCAGTTGTGCACAATATAAATAATGGGAAAAACAAAACTCCGTGTATGATTTAAAATAGTGACTTCGAGGTGTATTCTTACATGGGTTTTAGGGTTTTATTGGTAGATTCTCGGTATCAATTGATGGCATGATAGACACACTACTAAAACAGAGATGATTCTGACTGGTTTCAGGACTGGAAGTAGCTTGAAACTGAACTCAAAGCAACAAAAATATTCATTTTTTGCCGATATTCTTGAGGACAGGTAAGGCCTCCCTTACACCTCCAGTCCATTTCATGGGTTTTTAATTAACAGGTCTGATTCAACTACAGTACTATTGGGATGCTGTAAACCATGACCAATCTTTTGTGGTTATATTTTATTAAATAGAGTAAATCTTCTGAGGAAGTGACTAATGAACAGAGGAAATGGTTTAGTACCAGGAATGTTTACACTGTTTATTTTGGACTATTTTTTTAATTATACTTTTTTTAATTTTGTGTAAAATTGGTCAAAATACAAAATTCTGAGCACTTTACAGGGAAGTTGAAATAGTTGAAGGGGCAGTTTCCTGTGATCATTTGACAGAATGGAAGGCATACTAGAGAAATAGCTACAAATTTGGTTGAATGGAGCAAAGAAATTGGCTTAAAATAGAACTCAAAGTGGGCAAAATCACCAATGTGTAAATGGCACCTAGACTCCTAAATTTGTGCTTGCATAATTACAACAAGTTTTCCATCAAATACAGCCACTCCTCACTTAGCAACGTACTCATTTACTGACCACTCAGACTTATGACCAGCTCTCCAACCAATATACAAACCAAACTAATGCATATTAGAGTCGATTTCCTCTATTCTGTTTATTACGGTATACAGTAAACTACTGTATAAACATTTAAAAATATATCAGAAATGTTATAAATGGTGCCAAGGTGACATTAAAAAAATGTCTAAAGATGGCTGACACAAACCCACTACCAGTATAGTATGGTCCTCGCTTAATTACCACTTCGCTTACCGACCTACTCTTAGGAATGGAACCCCGTCGTTAAGTGAGGAGAGGTTGCATCGTACTTTTGGTGTCATTACCTTCAGAAAAGGATTCTCTACCATTTCAAAAGATTTTTTTTTTTAAAGTGGACACTAAGCGCAATATTAATTTTGGGGGTCTGGATAGTGAAAGGGTTAGACCCAGGATTAGAAAAAAAAATCAAGTGTAACTTATTTCCACTTCAGTCATCAATGCGTGCCATTACTGTATTATCAAGAAACAATGAAGTCATCTTGGTACTTACTATTGCAAAAGACGTGTGATGTTTCCTGAAGACTGTGTGTTGATGCTAGCAGCAGCTTCAGTTAAAACCTCCTCACCACTCTTGTTATTGTAAATGCCAACTACCACACCTGCCTGCAAATAGGGATAATACAGTAATGTATTATAAAGCTTTTCAGATATCATAAACTTCCAGTAATGTACGTATTATTACAATGCATTACAGTGCTGTACTTTTTGTATAATTCTCTAACAATTTATAGAAAAGAAGAGAGAAAAAGAAAAATCTAGGTTTTTTCTGAAGTTATCGGGGGAAGTTAAATTTTGCACTGTTGTATTCCTACACATCCTACTTATGTAGGAGGTATCTGATCAGACAAGATCACCAATAATCATAACAATCAAGTTAAGTGGTAAGCCTGACAAGATTAATAAAGTAGAAGATTTCTCTCCTAACTTGACACCCATGGCTCTTACTCCTGGAAGGAAGGAAGAACAGTTGAATAAAGAGCACTGCTGCACCATGCTGTATTGAAAATTCTGGACTTTTTTCTTATGAATGCCAATAATAATCAGATTAAATTCATACACTAAACTCTCGATAAAATGGCCCTCAATATAATGGGCCTCAATATAGTGGACTTCGATATAATGAACCTGTATATTACACTTTTAAAATAAAGGTCAAAACACACTGGATAAATTGTATTTTTATCTCTTATTCTCAATGTTTACTGCAATACACAGCAAATGGCAAATTGTGTATAGTGTTATATCAGGTATACAGTAGAGTACTTAAAGGCTTTTCTGCTATTTTTTTTTTATAATTGTTCTGATCTGAGAGAGAGACTAACAGTTCCCCCCCCCCCCCCCTTTCTGCATTAGTCCATTATATTGAGGGTTAACTAAAATGAGTCCAAATTTGAAATAAAATTATTATCCAGACCTAATTTAGTAGCTAATATTCACAAATTCTGAATTTGTAGAAACCTCTTGGAACTTAACCCATGAAACTGACACATGTGCAACATCTAGGTATCTTTATTGTAGACATTTCGCCATCCAGTGGCTTTATCAATACAAATTCCAGGACATAATTTGAAGACAGTAGAACTATATACAGTGGAACCTTGACTTACGAGCTTAATCCGTTCCAGGAGCTAGCTCATAACTCAATTTACTCGTACATCAAATTAATTTTCCTCATTTAAATTTATTGAAAAGCCATTAATTAGTTCCTGCACTCTTGAGAGATGAGAAAAATGCACGAATATGATGGTATTATCAACTGTACAGCTTATCTATCACAATTCATCTAATATGTTGGAGTGTGAGCAGGGTAATATTTAGTGAAGGGATTCAGGGAAACCGGTTATTTTCATATAGTCGGACTTGAGTCCTGGAAATGGGAAGTACAATGCCTGCGCTTTAAAGGAGGGGTTTGGGATATTGGCAGTTTGGAGGGATATGTTGTGTATCTTTATACGTATATGCTTCTAAGCTGTTGTATTCTGAGCACCTCTGCAAAAGCAGTGATAATGTGTGAGTGTGGTGAAAGTGTTGAATGATGATGAAAGTATTTTCTTTTTGGGGATTTTCTTTTTTGGGTCACCCTGCCTCGGTGGGAGACGACCGACTTGTTGGAAAAAAAAAAGAAAAAAAAAATAGCACAGAAACACAATATATACTCTAGAATGAATAAAATAGGCCATAATATGGTGGCAGCAGCAGTGACAGAAGTGTCCGCCGTTTCTGTCCCAATTTGACCGTAGTATCTTCCCACGTTCTTACTGTAAGAGAAAACAGAGTATTTTTGTGGCTAACTGCAGTAGATCACTAGGACCCATGGTTAGAAAAAAGAAATTTGGCCAAATGACTGTAAAAAATGCAAACAAGCACGAGAGAACTGCCCCCACACGGTTGTAAACATGTTTACTGCTTACCAGCTGTGCCAATTAGCAGAAGCAATCTGAATTATTATTAAGTATGTTTTATTTTATTTTATTATCACACTGGCCGATTCCCACCAAGGCAGGGTGGCCCAAAAAAGAAAAACTTTCACCATCATTCACTCCATCACTGTCTTGCCAGAAGGGTGCTTTACACTACAGTTTTTAAACTGCAACATTAACACCCCTCCTTCGGAGTGCATGCACTGCACTTCCCATCTCCAGGACTCAAGTCCGGCCTGCCGGTTTCCCTGAACCCCTTCATAAATGTTACTTTGCTCACACTCCAACAGCACGTCAAGTATTAAAAACCATTTGTCTCCATTCACTCTTATCAAACACGCTCACGCACGCCTGCTGGAAGTCCAAGCCCCTCTCACACAAAACCTCCTTTACCCCCTCCCTTCAACCTTTCCTAGGCCGACCCCTACCCCGCCTTCCTTCCACTACAGACTGATACACTCTTGAAGTCATTCTGTTTCGCTCCATTCTCTCTACATGTCCGAACCACCTCAACAACCCTTCCTCAGCCCTCTGGACAACAGTTTTGGTAATCCCGCACCTCCTCCTAACTTCCAAACTACGAATTCTCTGCATTATATTCACACCACACATTGCCCTCAGACATGACATCTCCACTGCCTCCAGCCTTCTCCTCGCTGCAACATTCATCACCCATGCTTCACACCCATATAAGAGCGTTGGTAAAACTATACTCTCATACATTCCCCTCTTTGCCTCCAAGGACAAAGTTCTTTGTCTCCACAGACTCCTAAGTGCACCACTCACTCTTTTTCCCTCATCAATTCTATGATTCACCTCATCTTTCATAGACCCATCCGCTGACACGTCCACTCCCAAATATCTGAATACATTCACCTCCTCCATACTCTCTCCCTCCAATCTGATATTCAATCTTTCATCACCTAATCTTTTTGTTATCCTCATAACCTTACTCTTTCCTGTATTCACCTTTAATTTTCTTCTTTTGCACACCCTACCAAATTCATCCACCAATCTCTGCAACTTCTCTTCAGAATCTCCCAAGAGCACAGTGTCATCAGCAAAGAGCAGCTGTGACAACTCCCACTTTGTGTGTGATTCTTTATCTTTTAACTCCACGCCTCTTGTCAAGACCCTTGCATTTACTTCTCTACAACCCCATCTATAAATATATTAAACAACCACGGTAGACATCACACATCCTTGTCTAAGGCCTACTTTTACTGGGAAATAATTTCCCCTTTTCCTACATACTCTAACTTGAGCCTCACTATCCTCGTAAAAACTCTTCACTGCTTTTCAGTAACCTACCTCCTACACCATAACACTTGCAACATCTGCCACATTGCCCCCCTATCCACCCTATCATACGCCTTTTCCAAATCCATAAATGCCACAAAGACCTCTTTAGCCTTATCTAAATACTGTTCACTTATATGTTTCACTGTAAACAACACTGATCCACACACCCCCTACCTTTCCTAAAGCCTCCTTGTTCACTGCTATACTATTCTCTGTCTTACTCTTAATTCTTTCAATAATAACTCTACCATACACTTTACCAGGTATACTCAGCAGACTTATCCCCCTATAATTTTTGCACTCTCTTTTATCCCCTTTGCCTTTATACAAAGGAACTATGCATGCTCTCTGCCAATCCCTAGGTACCTTACCCTCTTCCATACATTTATTAAATAATTGCACCAACCACTCCAAAACTATATCCCCACCTGCTTTTAACATTTCTATCTTTATCCCATCAATCCCGGCTGCCTTACCCCCTTTCATTCTACCTACTGCCTCACGAACTTCCCCCACACTCACAACTGGCTCTTCCTCACTCCTACAAGATGTTATTCCTCCTTGCCCTATACACGATGTATTATGTATGTATTATGCATTATTATTATTAGTATTAATTTAGGGAACTGAAGATCTTTCATTATAATTATTATTATTATTATTAATTTAGGGAACTGAAGCTCTATCGTTATAATAATAATAATAATAATAATTATAATATTAGTAGTATTATATTATTATTATTATTGTTGTTATTATTAATTTAGGGAACTGAAGCTCTACTGTTATTATAATAATACAGTAGACCACCATTGAAGAATTGCTGCACAATTTTATGTAACACATCGTATAATTAGTTTAACATGGTTCAGTTTGTGGGAAGGAAAAAAAAAATTCTTTTGCTCAAGCAGCCACCTAGTTGTGGAGCAGCCAGTGAGCTATCCCCTACCACTTCCTGACACCACCCCACCATCCCAGCATTCATAATTCATACATGTCCAGTCTTTCTCTGCTACAAGGCAGCTGTGTTTGTCAATTGTGTTTTGATATTTTAATTACTATATCTTGTATCTGCCAAGCAATCATGACACCCAGTAGCCATATTAGTGTTGCTGAAAGCGGCACGAAGAGGTACAGGTCCTCCATCACAAATCCGGCATCATTGGGACCTGTAGTGTGCTGGATTACTGAGTTTGCCAGATCACAGAGTGGTTAGGGTAGAATACACTTAATAAAATTAACAAGCTTGACTTACACAAAGTTCATTGAACATCGGCAAAAATCGAACATTTCCACTACTTTGAGCTCAATTTCAAGGTACTTTTCGTCATGAAAGCAATCAAAATCATGTCTATTTCTGTAATGTATCTTCCATTCTATCAAATGAGACCAAAAAACAAGAATACAGCCATAAAAACCATGCGAAAATATACCGCAAAGAGGCAGCTAATGGCTGAGAAGTGAACTCCCTTATTTATCGTCTGTCTTTTTTTTTGTTGTACGTTAAGAAGCATCTTTCCATCATACATTGCCCAAGTTTCAATGAGACAGCCCAACAAACAACCGAGAAAAAAATATTTACCAAAAATCATATATGACAAGCCCAAGCCAGGTACTGGAAATAAGTCACTTTGTCTATACATATGCTGCTATGTATGATAATCTATGTAACTGTATTTGTGTATACCTGAATGAACTTATTTACTTACTTCTAGTCTGTCGACTGAGTACAAGAAACTGCCCATTCACTTATTTCAACTACCCAATAAAGTGGTCAGAAATTGGCAATCTGTCCAATTTCACACAAATTTCAACATGCCAATTTCAAAATAGGGTCCAGAATAGACAATGGAGACATTCCTGGCACTAAAATAACATTTT